TTGGCGTTTGTTATGGCATGAAGGGCAGTGACTTACCATCTCGCCAAGAAGTCATAGATCTCTACAACCAAAACAACATCCAAAGAATGAGACTTTACGCTCCGGATGAGGCTGCTCTCCAAGCCCTCAGAGGCACCAACATCGAGCTGGTGCTCGACATTCCCAATGATGACAATCTTATTCAATCTTTAGCAGCCAGCCAAGCCACCGCCGACAATTGGGTTCAAAACAACGTCAGGAACTACCCAGATGTCAAGTTCCGCTACATCGCTGTAGGAAACGAAGTTAAGCCCACGGATTCTTTTGCACAGTTTCTAGTCCCCGCCATGCAAAACATCCAAAATGCACTTGCAGGAGCTGGACTTGGAATCAAAGTGTCCACGGCTATTGACACCCGGGTCCTCGACGGTGCATCTTTTCCTCCGTCAAAGGGATCTTTCAAGGCGGAATATAAGCCTATTCTTGATCCCTTAATCAGTTTCTTGGTGAACAATCAAGCTCCATTGCTCGTTAACTTGTACCCTTACTTTAGTTATGCTGGCGACGCTAACATTCGTCTTGATTACGCTCTCTTCACGGCTCCCTCACCAGTGGTATCAGATGGACCGCTACAATACAGTAATCTTTTTGACGCAATGCTAGATACGGTCTACGCAGCCCTTGAGAAGTCCGGAGGGGGTAATTTAGAGATTGTGGTGTCAGAAAGCGGCTGGCCTACTGCGGGTGGAAGGGATACGACGGTTGAAAATGCGAAGATTTATAACAACAATTTGGTTCAGCATGTGAAGGGAGGGACTCCGAAGAAGCAAGGAAAGTCCATTGAGACATACATTTTTGCCATGTTTGATGAGAATAATAAGGGGGGAGAGGAGGTGGAAAAACACTGGGGCCTGTTTTCTCCAAACAAGCAGCCTAAATATCAAATGAACTTCAACTAAGGGAATTAATTAGGAGGAAAAATAAGGGCTAAATACGGCTAAATAAATGTATGGGGTTTGTTTCGCCATGTTTAACTTTGTTTTATTACTAAATAAATGCAATTTGTTAACGCAATGCAAAATTCTTGTCTATTTATGTACACTCAAAGAAATTCCTATATAAATGTACGTATGAATTTAATTTATTACGAATTTTTTATTTTACAGTTTATATTATAATAATTATAAAATAAAAATTATTAGATAAAAGGATAAGTCTAAATATTAAGTTTATCTCCTTAAATGATGATCATTATATAAACTTAGAATTTCTTACCCAAACAAGAAAATGTAGCATAGTTAACCATGAATTAATAGTGCTTCGAAAATGATATATTTGGTCTAGGTTCAAGTATTTGGTCTTAGAGACTTCTGCCGATTTTATTGAACAAAAATTTTTCTAAACAAAACGTGTTGGTTAAAGAGAATGTTCAAACTTCAAACTTCAAAGGTCGTGAAATAAGAGAGGCTTCCTTCTCACGAAACCTGGCTTGGGAAAAGTTCTGTTCTGCATGATGAATGATTTGGAAATGGAAATATAACAGAGAACTACATGAAATTTCTTTGAATCCAGAGCCTGGCTTAGGACTCTATAAAATTTTTTAAGGGAAATTACATTTAATCTACTTGTGATTTAGGATGAATGCATTTAAAAGTTTGTGGTATCAAAATGTACACTTAATAACTATGTTTTGAAATAAGAGTAGTGAGACACTTTTGCTATTAAAAACTTAACAGAAAACTTTATTTTTTATCTTAATTCCTCTAACACTCTTCTTGCCTAATATCATCATCTTACCCAGCACTAAAAGTTAAATTGTATGTAATTCGTTTGATTCATTAAAACCACTTATAGTCTCATCACTTCTTTTCAACTCATTATCATCTATCTATCAAAATACATTAAAAAAATGATAATAATTAATTAATTCATTCATTTTAAGTGATCACATTCAAACCACTTGCGTAATTCAATTGAAAAAAAAAATAATTTGTACATGTATAAAAGATTCATAATTAACATGCACTGTTGAAATTAATTAAAATTAAATATGCATAAAATCAAGAATATATTATTTATAAATGCAGATGATCAAGGTAGAACCTTTCAATTTTCAAATGAAATCTTCACTTTTTAAATCCTAAACAAGCAATAAAATTTTCAAGTGAATACAAAAACGTTGATAAAAGAAAATTAAAAACAAAGTTTAACTTTGGAATATAAATTATAATAGATTAAAAGATTTTGTTCGATTACCTATAGAGAGTTATTTTATTTGGTTTTCATCTTCACTTGAGTCGATCTTTGAAGATTCTTATGAAAGCGAGTATGTG